CACTCTTATCCTGCGTGGCCAGTATAGATTCTGTGGGCTCTGTTGAGATCTTCCGCTCAGGGTTTCGTCCTGCTGCTCCCCGCGGTCTCCACATCAACCCTCCAAACTACTGTTCCCAGCAGCCTCTGCTGATCTCCAAAACACTTCCGCTTCCACCTCCGCCTCAATCCCTGAGCAGCTGCGCCACGCTTACTCCTAAGGAGCACTGAAAGTCAAGCCAGTTCCTTCCAAGTAAGTAAACGGAAAAGGGAAAGAATAGTAAAAATAGACAAGTTCCTTGGTCCTACAAAATATTTCCACCCTGGTTCTGTAATTTATGAAAAGGACTTCCTTTAGTTCTTCCTTTAGCTCTTCAAGGGTACAAAAACCAAGAGAAAAAAAAAAGCCGCGTTTCACATAACAGGGGGATAGCATCCCTTCTGAGCAGAAGCAAAGTCAATTGGGAAGGTACTTTGCCCAAACTGAGGCCCAATGTCCCGCTTAAAAAGGATGAATATAAGTTCACCACATTCTTATAATTACAAGTTAAAAGTTGGAAGTGTCCCTCAACCCCTTACAAAAAAGGGGAGAGCCAATAGGTGGATATGGCCCCCAGCTCGCTGCCGTTGCAGCAAACTTTAATGTTGCTTTTGCTGATCTATAACTTGTACTTTTATATTTAGCATTTGTTCCTTCCAAGAAGTTGTACCTGAATATATTAGACCTAAATATCTGAATGCTTGGCTTATGATTTTTCAATAATAATAATAATAATAATAAATATTTATTTATTTATATCCTGCCCCTCTGCAGAGCAATCGGGGTGGCTTACAACATTACAATTTCCATACAGATATATTAAACAGAACATAAAATCCCGAATCCACCCATCCTTTAAGAAGTAAGGGTTCTTCTTATTCCAGGCCCGATGGTGCTAGATGGTAATGGAGGGAGGGCTCTTCTTTCTTTAAATGCCAAATATATTTTTTTTGGGTGTTTTCCAAAGACCATTACTTGGGTTTTATCGTAACTGATTGTCAATTTGTTGTTTTTGCAGTATGAAGAAAAATTTGTAAAGAGTCTTCTTAAACCTACCTCCGTTCTGGATACTAGTACTAAATCATCTGCATACATTAACAAAGAATTTTTGGCATTGAGAATTGTGACAGAGGCATACTGCAAACTCTCCAGTTCTTTTACAATGTCATTAATAAAGAAATTAAACAGGAAAGGTGCTAAAATGCATCTCTGCTTAACTCCTACAGATGCATCAATCTTTGGAGTGAGATGTCCTGCTAGGTCTATTTTAACCTGTAACGATGTATCAGTATACAGAGATTTTATAAGAAATAATAAACAGTGGTCGATATTTGTTTTCTCCAGTTTCTGCCACAACAAAGCTCTAGAGATCGAGTCAAACACAGATTTCAAATCAACAAATGCAACATACAGTTTTTGTTTTAGATTATGAACATATTTGCACATTAGAAAGTTTAGCACAAAACATAAATCAATTGTTGACTTCCCCTTTTGGAAACCAGCTTGTTCTTCTGCCAATACATTATAGTTATCTACCCAATCTTCTATTTTTTCCAAGAGGTACCTAGCATACAATTTAGAGGCAATATCCAGAAGGCTAACAGGTCTATAATTAGCTGGGTCTTTCTTATCACCTTTTTTATATATAGGGACAATGATACTCAATTTCCAATCCCCTGAAATGCATCCAGAATGGTTTACATGGATAAACAATTTTGCAAGTACTGGGGACCAATAATCCAGTTTTGCCTTATAT